CCCCCCCCCCCCCCCCCCCACCGCAATACTCCCTTGGCATCATTCGCACGTGGGCCCCTTCTCCCTCACTCCTTATCCCCACCTTCCGACAGATCCCAGCAAAGGCACATCCACATCGTCTGGCGAATGGAGCCGGCGCAATCGACCCCCAAACACTGCCCCCACTCCCGCCGCCGCCGCTGCCGCCGCCGCAACCACCGGCGACAACGGTGGCGACGTCAAGCGTCACGCGCCCGACAGCAATCAGCGTCTGGGTCGACTGAACATCGTTACCGGGGGCGGCGGCGGCGACCGCGGTGGCGGCGGCAGCGACGACGACGATGGGGGAGGAAACGGGGGCGGGGCGGCTCTGTTGGACGCACATGCGGCGGCCCTGCAGCACGACATGCAGGCCCTGAGCATCGACGACGAGACCTCTCCCGGGTGGAGCCAGCTGAGAACAGACGTTGCCGGGTACGTTTTTAGCGGCTTCGGCTTCTAGGCAGCCTCTTGGGCAGTTGTTTGTGGTATTTGCGGCTTGCTGCTGCGGCTGCTGCCGTCGCTACAGCGGTTTTTGTTACTGTTATTGCTAACGTTAACAATGGTTGGTTTTTCCGCTGTGGTGGTGCGGGATGGTGTCAGTGGTCGTAGTCAGCGCCGGCAGCAATATCCCTGATACACTGCTGGGGGGTGAAAGCTCGGAGGTAGAGTCCGCCATCGTAGAGTCCGCAAACGTGGGAACAAGAAATGACTGCGGACAACATGCAAGGACACACTCGTCCTTTGAATCACTCTTGCAGACGGAGATCATGGCCGGAATAATAGTCACTCGCTCTACGTGTGCCTCGTTCCGACGACGTTGGACTGCTTTGCCCGGGCACATACGATACCTCTCCTCGTGGCATTTTCTCCTTCTCGACGGCAGGGTACCGGGACCGGCCTTCGACGGGGACGCTTTGCCCATGAGCCTCACGTCTGCCTCCGACAACGTGCTCGGGGGAGCTCAAGGTTTCCCGGTACCGGCAGCGTTCAAGTGAGTCTCAAACCTCGGCGGTGTAGTAGGTGCTTGCACATGACGGGGGGACAGTTTACCGCCAATCTCGCTGACGCTTGTCCTTGGATTCAGGGTGTGGGTTTGGGTTAGGATAGGGTGCTGGGTTCCAGTTGAGCCGCCTCGGATGAATTTTGGCAGGGAAGCTGGCTGCGGGGATGGTTCGTTCGACCTAATAAATAGGTTTGAAACGGGCGCACAACGATGACCTTTACTGTTCGCCAGTCTAGTTTCTGCTCGCCACCCCACGCCATGCCCCCCCTGTCCCCGTGCCATGCCTCAAAGGAGATGTGTATAGTGTACCCGTTCACGGAGCCTCATTTTCACGAACAACACGCCCTCGTATCTTCCAAGTCCTCTAGGGATATGATAAATCCGTGATACTGTGGCCGTACCCTCATGCCCCCCCCCCCCCCCCCCCCCCCCCCCCCCCCCCCCCCCCCCCCCCCCCCCCCCCCCCCCCCCCCC